AAAAAAAAAATTTTTTTATAACAAATAATGTATTTCTAATTTATATATATTAAAAAATGAATTTTATTAATACATATTCAAAATTATATAATTTCTAATATACATGCATGTATTATTTTTTTATTATTCGATATTAGAAGATATTATAAATTTAAATTATATAATACATATATATGTATCTATGTTATGTTAATTTTATAATATAATTTATATAATTTATATAATATAATATATCTAAATGTGTTATTTTGGAAGAATTAAACATTGATAAATGTCATACAATTTATATTTATACAGAAACTTTATTATTTTAAATCAATATTAAAAAGTACAAAACTCTTTTTTTATCTAAATAGAATTTGTACTATCATACCATGGTGGCATCCAATTTGTTGAAGGTTTTGTTCTTTTTTTAGAAATAGACAATGTACCATCAATATTATAATTTTGATCTGTTTGTTTTCTGCGTATTTCATTTTTATTCTTATCAAAAGTTTCATTATCCAAAACAACAAATGATTGACCGTCGATGAGTTGTTTTGTATTTTTACCAAAACTAGGAGAATATGGTCTAATAATGTTAGTTTGAAGTACACAATTCGATGAAGAATCATGTATTCTTCCGGAAGACTGAAATGATGGCGAATGTCTATGTCGGAAACCTCTTGGCTCATCGACATTACAAACATGAAGTCGATATGTTGGACTAGTCGATCTATGTTTTATTTTATTATTTTCCGTTATATTTGATTGCATTTGTTTTTGGATATGCATTTGCGAAGATTTTGATCCCCTAAATTGTATTATACATATTACAATCAAAATTATATATTTTAACGAATATTAACGAATATTAATTTTTGTTATAATAATTTCACAAAAAATTCGAATTTATATCTATTTTACTTTCAAATTAAATATTTCAAATCTTATATATCAATATTTTTTTATCATAAAAATCAAAAATTTCTTTATAAGCAATAAGTAAAAAATATCTTGCACATTAATACTAATTATTTAAATTCAACTTATTACAGTCAAAAATTTTTAAATACAAACCTTCGATTACTTAATGGTGGTTTTCCATAGACATTATCTTCATGAACTCGCGTATTTAATATTTGAAACGCACCTTGATCTTGAGCAGCATTTGTGAATCCAAATTGTTCTGAATTATTACTTATCCAATAATTTTCTTTTCGTCTAGAAGCGCTTAAACTACGATCTCGTCTACAATGCATTCTCTGATCGGCTTGTAATTGATTTTCACGTTTTACGCAATAAGCACTTTTATATTCCGGTTCAAGATCAAGATTACCTTCTAGGCGTAAGTTGGCAGGCATTTTTAAACTTTCGATCCTTGGTATATGACCGTAAGGAATGTATTGAGCTCGTACCTCGCTGGTAATTTCGTGATCGTATCGTTTGCAATCTTGTCTTCCAAAACGTACACCATATTGCGAAGAATTGAATATTGATCTCGAAGGTAATGGTGATTTTCGATCTCTTTGATAATCTAAATATTTCGATTTGTATTCCGGATCTTGATCAATTTTTCTTAAAAATTTTAATGTAGGAGAGGAAAGTATTTTTGATCCATCAGCTCGTCCAATTTCATCTTCTGGCTTTATAATTTTAGGCCTTTCTCTTGGGAAATCCTATAGGTAAAGAAGTGTTCAAATTGTATTTTTAATAATATTGTGCTATAAAATTGTTGGCAACAAAATTCTTATATATAGCTGATATTTTATTTTTTTTTTGTTATTGTGATATAGATAGACAAAAAGAATATATCGACCAAATTAGATTAAATAAAAATTACGTAACAATTTCGATTCGATATAATGCAAACTATAAATTAATTAAAAATAAAAATAGAACAAGAATCGATGAAACGATAATTTAAAGAATTAGAAATCTCAGAATTAGAGTTTGCCTTATATGCATCTTTATATTCCGGGATTTCAAGTGGTGAAGTCTTCAGATCTTCTAACTTTGAAACCAGTATTTTCATCTCCTCGTCTTTCCTCTGTTTCTCAATTAACTCCTTTCTTCTTTTTTTCTCTTCTTCGGTATCTTTGTTCGATTCATGCATCAATCGTGTTTCTTTTTCCCCGATATTAGGATCGATAAAATTAACAATGTCCTGTGTATTTTCAAAAAATAAATTTCCAGATTTTAGATGAGTTTCAGGTTTTACAGGGTGTGGACGTTCTGCAAAATACAAATATCGAAGTATTTATCAAATTTAAAAATAACAAACCAAATTTGCATAATCACCCTTATTATCGTGTTTCTTAAACATATCGGTATACTCTGGCACGAAATTAGCCTTGCCATTTAATTTTAAATTGGTATTTTGCCTTAACAATTCTGGTCTTCGCACACCTATAAACGGTACGTATTTTTCCTGATTTTCTGTCGTCGTTTCAAATTCACCTTCGAGTTTTAAATGTGTAGGTACACGTATAAGTTCCGGTCGACTAACGTTCAACCATTGGATGAATTTTTCACATTTTTCGGTAGTTGTTTCCAAATCACCTTCCATTTTTAAAGATGTGGATCTACGAGCTAGGTCAGGTTTATGCCGACCTTCGTAAGCCACGTACGACGAATAAGTTTCCGTATCCGTGTATAATTCACTATCACGTTTGAAACTGGTACCCCTGTTACATCGTAGAGATATTAATTGAACGATCAAAATAAATAGATCGATTAATTCCTGTACGGAGAACGATTAAATAACTTTATTTTGTTCACTATTTAATAAATATCTTTTATTATATCATTGTTAGAAAAAAATTTATTATTTTCACACACGTTTATGGATTAATAGAAATATTTTTTGAGAAATTTTATTCATTATATTCATATTATATTCATACCTTTTGCTCAAAGAATTTCGTTTAAGAGAATTGGTAAGAGGTTCGGTCTCCATTGTATTATCATCATTGATCTCGCTCGTTTTATTTTTAATCGGATTTATTTTCTCTCGTTCCCTTACGTCTTTTCGAATTAAAACTTGCCCGCTTTCACTCAATTCTTTTGTCCCAAGATTTTCAGGCCAGACACATTCCTACGGTAAGGGGTACATCTATGAATCGGAAAATTTAACAACATTACTTGGATCACGAAGGTGTTCAGACTTGAAACGAGAATAAATCGTAAAGTTGTATGGTGTTTAAAAAATGAGAAAAATTGATTCATTGATTAGAGATGAGAATACGAAGAAGAATACGAACCTCGAGGGATTCTTCGCTTCTCGCGCGAAAAGCTTGACGATATTCGGACACGAGATCTTTGTTTTCAACCTCGATGTAAAGTCGAAGATTGTCCTTTGGTTGTCCCTGTACACGCCTTCTTCGATAACGAGCCAACTCGTCCACTGTCAGTCCTTCCAGCAAAGGCCATATTTCCTTCGATTTATTCCTCTTTCGATTTTTCTTTTTACTCTGTGCTAGCTCGGTATCCGAGGAAGATTTATTGTA